TCTCACAAGAGAGTGTCCCATAAGAGTGCCCGACAAGAGTGTCCTACAAGAGTGTCCCACGAGAGTGTCCTACAAGAGTGTCCCACAAGAGTGTCCTACAAGAGTGCCTTTCAGGAGTGTCCTACAAGAGTGTCCTGTAAGAGTGTTCCACAAGAGTGTCCTACAAGAGTGACCCACAAGAGTATCCTACAAGAGTGTCCCAGAAGAGTGTCCCACAAGAGTGTCATTTGGACATATGTAGCTTTTCGAACGTGTTTGCATTCGGGTTCGTGGGCTCCATCTTGTTTTTTCCCGAATGCGTAGCGAAGGGTTCTCGTTTAACTCTGGGGGTCTGGGGGTAGAGTCTTGTTCGCGATCCGTTGCTTCTATGTTCGCAACCGTCCGCAACCGTCCGCAACCGTCCGCAACCGTCCGCAACCGTCCGCAACCGTTCGCAACCGTTCGCAACCGTTCGCAACCGTTCGCAACCGTTCGCAGTAGGACGCTAAGGCGCTGCCATTGGGGGAAGCTTTTGCAAGTGACTTTTCATGGATGTGTCACGTGTCAGTTTGCGACGCTATTCCATTGTGATTTGCATGAAAATGACATGTCGCGCAAGAAGCGTGATGCATTTCGCTGCACAGGCGCAGTGGTTTGAGAGATCCGCAGTTTACTGCGCAGTTCCATTGGGATTAGCGTTTGGAGAGTCGTGTTTTTGGGGTGTTGGATGTGGCCGTGCCATTGGGATTTGCATTTCAGGGTGTGGCATCGAAGCTCTGTTTTCGTGACAGTCTCAGCTGAAATGGCGATTTTGGTGGATGGGAGTGTGCTCAGAACGGGTCGAAATCATTCTAAACGTGTGGTGTGGTGCAAATTTTGTTGAAGCTCATGTGAGATGATATTCTCACTTTTCGTGGCAGGCACAGTACTTTGTGCTGATTTTGAGGTGTGGAAGTGCGATTTTCGTGGCAGGCGCAGGAAATCGTGAGGTTGCGAGGTGTGACGGAGGTGACATTGCGTGGCAGGCGCAGTACTTTGTGCGCGTTAGACGTGTGGACGCGGAAAGATGCGTGGCAGGCGCAGGGAATCGTGAGGTTGTGAGTTGTGGTAGAGGTGACTGTCGTTGTCTCATTGGGATTGGCGTGTGAGCGGGTGTTGTTTGGAGGGCTGGAATCGCGAAACTGCTTGGCAGGGCTGCGTGATGTGTGTGCTCCGATGGGTGCTTCCGCTTGACTTTTGGAGGAAGTCTCGTACGAAACGCTCGTTTTGGAGACTTTGACACGTGAGTTTTTGAGGAAGTCTCGTACGAAACGCTCGTTTTGGAGAGTTGACACGTGACTTTTGGAGGAAGTCTCGTACGAAACGCTCGTTTTGGAGACTTGACGTGTGACTTTTGGAGGAGGTCTCGTACGAAACGCTCCGTTTTGGAGACTTGACGCGTGACTTTAGGAGGAAGTCTCGTACGAAACGCTCGTCTTGCAGCCTCGAAGCGTGACTTTTGGAGGAAGTCTCGTACGAAACGCTCGCGTGACTGCTTCTAGTGTGTGGGCAGACCGTGTCGCGACACGAGTGTCACACAAGAGTGTCCCACAAGAATGTTCCACAAGAGTGTCCCGCAACCGTGTCCCACAAGAGCGTCTCACAAGAGTGTCCCTTAAGAGTGTCCCACAAGAGTGTCCTATAAGAGTGCCCCACAAGAGTGTCCTACAAGAGTGTCCCACAAGAGTTTCCTACAAGAGTGTCACACAAGAGTGTCCCACAAGAGTGTCCCACAAGAGTGTCCTACAAGAGTGTCCTACAAGAGTGTCCCACAAGAGTGTCCTGTAAGAGTAACCCACAAGAGTGTCCTACAAGAGTGTGTCACAAGACTGTCCCACAAGAATGTCCGACAAGAGTGTCCCATAAGAGTGACCCACAAGAGTGCTTCTGAGAGTGTCCCACAAAGAGTGTCCCACAAGAGTTTCCTACAAGAGTGACCCACAAGAGTGTCCTATAAGAGTGCCCCACAAGAGTGTCTTACAAGAGTGTCCCACAAGAGTTTCCTACAAGAGTGTCCTATAGCAGTGTCCCACAAGAGTGTTCCACAAGAGTGTCTCACAAGAGTGTCCCACAAGAGTGTCCTACAAGAGTGTCTCACAAGAGTGTCCTACGAGAGTGTCCCACAAGAGTGTCCTACAAGAGTGTCCCACAAGAGTGTTCCACAAGAGTGTCCTATAAGAGTGTCCCACAAGAGTGTCCTACAAGAGTGTCCTACAAGAGTGTCCCAGAAGAGTGTCCCACAAGAGTGTCCTACAAGAGTGTCCCACAAGAGTTTCCTACAAGAGTGTCCTATAAGAGTGTCCCACAAGAGTGTCCCACAAGAGTGTCTCACAAGAGTGTCCCACAAGAGTGTCCCACAAGAGTGTCTCACAAGAGTGTCCCACAAGAGTGTCCTACAAGAGTGTCCCACAAGAGTGTCCTACAAGAGTGTCCCACAATAGTGTCTCACAAGAGTGTCCCACAAGAGTGTCCTACAAGAATGTCCCACAAGAGTGTCCTACAAGAGTGTCCCACAAGAGTGTTCCTACAAGAGTGTCTTCTAAGAGTGTCCTACAAGAGTGTCCCACAATAGTGTCTCACAAGAGTGTCCCACAAGAGTGTCCTGCAAGAGTGTCCCACAAGAGTGTCCCGCAAGAGTGTCCCAAATGAGTGTCCCACAGGAGTGTCCCACAAGAGTGTCGCGCAACAGTGTCCCGCAAGAGTGTCCCACAAGAGTGTCCCTTAAGAGTGTCCTGCAAGAGTGTCCCGCAACAGTGTCCCACAAGAGTGTCCCACAAGAGTGTCCCACAAGAGTTTCCCACAAGAGTGTCCCACAAGAGTGTCCCACAAGAGTGTCCCACAAGAGTGTCCCACAAGAGTGTCCCACAAGAGTGTCCCACAGGAGTGTCCCACAAGAGTGTCCCTTAAGAGTGTCCCACAAGAGTGTCCCGCAACAGTGTCCCACAAGAGTGTCCTACAAGAGTGTCCCACAAGAGCTTCCCACAAGAGTGTCCTACAAGAGCGTCCCACAAGAGCTTCCTACAAGAGTGTCTCACAAGAGTGTCCCTTAAGAGTGTCCCACAAGAGTGTCCCGCAACAGTGTCCCACAAGAGTGTCCTACAAGAGCGTCTCACAAGATCTTCCTACAAGAGTGTCCCACAAGAGTTTCCTACTAGAGTGTCCCACAAGAGTGTCCCACAAGAGTGTCCCGTAAGAGTGTCCCACAAGAGTTTCCTACAAGAGTGTCCCACAAGAGTGTCCTACAAGAGTGTCATTTGGACATATGTAGCTTTTCGAACGTGTCTGCATTCGGGTTCGTGGGCTCCATCTTGTTTCATTTTTTTTTCCGGGAAGGTTTTTCATGTTTTTTCCCCTACTGTTTTTGCTTTTGCTTCTGCTGGGAGTGCTTTACAAGCACTAGGAGCAGCAGAAAGGGCAGGGGACGAAGCACATTTACATAGATTGGGGTGGTTTGAGGGGTCTTTCCTTTATTTAGAGTTGTTTACAGGCCTGTTACGTTTCTGGTAGAACACCAGTCACGTCTCTCGTGACGTTCGCTGCGCGTGGTAGTATGTAATAGTTACTTACATGGATGGGTCATGTTAAACTTTCATATATATATATATATGGGCCGGTAAACATGGGTAAACCTTCCACACACACACAAATGGTTTGAGATAGATATATACTTGGGACCAAACATGACCGCATGTATCGACAAAACAAAGAGAGAACACACAACATCTTACAACCCTAGGCAACCCTAGGGATCCAAATACCTTCTCAGAAAATACTTGGACGCCGAACACAGAAACCCCTCTGAAAGGGTATGTGGATCCATAGGGCCTTGCAAACGTTCCAGGACCTTCCGTCTGGCGTTCCCATTCAGATCCTGTCGTTGAACATGGTCCGCTCGGATGGCATGCCTTCTCAGGCTAGCCGACATACCGTTTTGGGTTCAGGCGGCTTTCAAATTATTGCAGGCGGCTTTTTTGGTTCAGGCGGCTTTCATGGTTCTATCGAGGAAATCACACCGCGGCCACATGTCAGAGTGTTTTTAAGACTTTCTCAACAGGCCTCGCCCAAAAACTCACCAAATTCCCCCAAAAGATACACAAACCTTATTATAGTGAAGTGTAACATAAAAATTGATGGTCAATGGATGGTTTTCCTCGGTTTTCTCAATGGACAGTCTACACCCGCCCATGACGACCACCGGATCCACTCCCCTGACCACTTCGCTCGGCACCGCCTGGCTTCCAATGGTCCCTCGAGCAAGCCCCGCTCGGCCATGGCCTTTGATTCACTGAGCTCCGCCTTCCGGGCAGAGTCTGCCGGGATGAGTTGGAGTTCACTAGTGGTCTTCATTTCATGTGGCCGAAGAAATGCTTCCACATCCAAGATACAGATTCCAATTATATTATATCCAAACCAAGCGTCACTGTCACTCCATGTCCTCCAATTTTCTTCCACTCCAAATCCTACCGCTTTGGACTGACCGCATCCTTGCTCTCCGCATCCGCCTGCAGGGCACTCAGGGGAGCCAAGGTGCCAGAGGCCAAGATCACCGCGTGCGCCAAAGAGGCGAAGGTCTCGAAGAGGACGCCTGCCGCTCCCCGCTGGAGATCGAGGTGTGGCTTCATGAGGAGGGCCCGAAGGGGGTAGGGGGGGGCTCGTCGTTGAAACAATTTTGACGTTCGGAGTGAGTGGGAGTTGGGGCTCTTCGTTGGGGGTAGTCCTTTTTTGGGGGGACGTGGTGTTCTTTGGTTTGGAAATGGAGGATGAGACTTGAAAGGGTACAGGGAAAAACACATGAGATTCAATTCATATATGAGTGCGAGCATAACGACGCATAGAGGTCACAGCCATGTTCCGGCAGGGCCTCGTTGGTGCAAGTTCTGAACATCTGTCATTCAGAGTCTTCACACTCCGTGAAGCCAAACGAGGTGGGCAACTGGGAGTTCATGAGTGATGTGTTTTCTTTTGGGGAAGCCCAAAAGCATCTATGGGACTGGAATAGTTACTTACACGGATGGGTCCATGTATACATGGATGGTCCATTATGTCATATGACTTACTGTAAGAGACTCTAAGACTCACTGTAAGTTAAGTGTCTGTAACTCTTTCAGTCCCATGAGAGTCTCGTCTGACGATGGATGAAAGATCGCACGGCTCGGAGACGCCCACCTCGCACTGTGACTGTGGAGCTGTTGCGCTGAGGACTTACGGTAGTCGTTATAACACTCTTTATAAGGACCTCATAAGCAGTCATAAGCAGTGGCCTTCAGGCTACTGTTGAATTTTGCAAAGCACTGGATTCCATGTGTTTGTCTTTTGTTTCGAGCAGTTTAGAGATGAAGATTTAGCAGTGGCATTGTTAATCGTTGAACATCTAGACAGAGCAAGTCAGCCAGATGTGCATATCATCCTATGCCTATGCCACATGAAAAGGACGTTCGGTCTTATGTTGCAAAAGCATGCTGAAGTAATTAACAATAAAGATTAGGAGGTCCTGTCCTGTATCTTCATATAGGATAAGGTCCCATCAAATTTTGCTGCTTCCATTTCTCTCGCTCTCCCTTTTTACAGCTCCTGGCGACATCAGCCAAACAGAAAGCCGCTGCTCGACACCACCGTGACTGGAACTTGAAATGCCCACGACATAGGAGTCCTCGGCCGCAGTGGGGGACTATGCAGCTTGACAAAGGTAGGACAGACCAACGGACCATCACCAAAGGACGGCAAGCAGGTGGGCTTTTCGTTTTGCACCTTTCTTTTCACACCTCCTGAGTCCTACAGAAGATCTATTTGTGGTCCAGGGAGCATCTCACAAAAAGAAAAACAATATTGGGATTGAAGACCATGACCATGATCTTCTAGCCATTCTAGTCTTTCTACTATTTGGTTTCTTCTCCAAGAAAACATCAAACATAGTATATAGACCCACTATATATAGCCCTATTCACCCTTGTTCAGGGACTAATTGTGTCTTCTCTGTCACATAAATGGCAACACATCAATGACATCTATGGAACATCAGGACTTTCTTTACCAGCTGGTGCCTGTCTTGTTAGACACAATGACAACTCTTTGTTACCCCCAGGAGCATTCGGTTTGAGAGGCCCTGTCACCACCTGTCATGTGAAAAGGCTTTCGGTTTGGCGATGGCTGCTATTTTATAGTCTTAGCTTTACTGCTGTTTGTTGACAAATCAATCAGAACAAATAAACATGTTACATCAAACATCAACTGCACAAACACACAATACAAAAAAAAATCAAACAAAACACAATAATGCACATATTATGTATACTGTATATTATATATACATCTGCATCTGCTGGATGGAACCACCCAAAGGCCAAGGCGCTGGATGCTGAGAGGCCAAACGGAGCTTGAAAATCAGCTCCCGTAGCTTCTCCTCCGGCCAATGGGTGAGTGATGGTGAGTGGTCTGGCTGATCCCATTGGCATTGGCAAGGCATTGGCGGACTTCATTTGGATTGCAAACAAGGCTCTTAGCAAAGTGACCAGCTATCTTCCAAAGCCGTAGAGAAAAGGAGTCTACCGAGTTTTGCGGGCTAAAACCAAATTAAAATTTAAAACCCATAAGTAACTTTGTAGGGGGGAACAAGACTGGTTTGGGATTCAAGCAACTTTGGCACCCGCGGAAGGGATCCTGAAGAGGTCATTAGAGCAGCAAGAAAGTGCGACCTGCCACAGGAACCCCTGGCTTTTTGAAGTAGTAGCTGTCTTAGCAACTGTGATAGACAAAAGCTTACTCTCCATCAATGCTTCGGGCACTTTGTGAAGACCCAACACTTCACAAAGAAAGCTAAAGGAGACGCGCCAACATAGATCCCAAATCGATCCAAATCGAATGAACATGTTCTGATGCAAAGACACTTGGACCACGTGCCAGTTCCATGACATTCCCGTCTCCAGCACATTGAGAAGCTCGGCGTCATCAGCATCAGCCTCGGCAGGAGAGGACAGAGCTATTCTAGAGCAAGCAGCCAGGAATAGCAACCAACCCACCGCCGAACATTCTGAGTTCGGCGAGTTCGGCGACTTCAGCGTGGGCCGTTCGATGGTGAGGAGTGACACAAGGGGACAAGCCATGTCAAAACACAGCATGTTCTGCATTGTTCTGCTGTCCGTCTGCTGTCCCTCGTTCTGGTTTTCAGCTGTGAACAGTTTGATGCTCTTTCGATATGGGCTCGGACATCCGTGAACCAGTCGTCAAAGTGAGTCGACCAAAGCCAGCACATCGCGGCCGGCGCCGAGCTCGGGATGGTTCTTTAGCAAAAAGGTCACTGCATGGCCTGGGCCTGCGACATGTGCGGCTACTTTTACAGCCTTGTGCTCCCGCAACACTCAAGTGCATGCGCATCGCGGATCAAGATTTCATGTCTCGTGGCAATGCCATTCACATTTCACAAGATTTCGCCCAAGGGGTTTTGCCAAAGGGAACGCACCAATGGGTCGCGGTCTATTTTGCTTTTTTCCTCCAGACCGGTGGTCTTTCGGGGGTGGAGCCCACACCCAGCAAGCCGCATGCCTGCGCTCTGCTCGCTCTATCGGGGGCGATACGAAAGACACAGCCGAAAGAAGTCATTCTGGGGCTGGTGAGTCCTCCAACCTGGGATCAAACTTCACCTTGGGACCTTAGCAAGTGGTTCCAGAAAGCGCTGGCGTTTCTGTTGGGGGAAGAATGGGGGAGATGAAACATACTCCCAAGGGTCACAATATATGAATGATGCAGGGTCAGTGGACATAATCCATGATCCATTTGACTTGCATTGTTTTACTTCTTTCGACATTCCTGTGACAAAAACCAACTTCGACCCTGAAAGTGGACTAGCGACGACGATAACCTCACATGCAAATATATATATATATATGAACTCCATATATATATTGTTGTGTATATATATATATATGAAGTCCATCAGCAGTGGTCATTGAATTCTATGATTCCGTCGTAGTCTGCGGAAGGCGAACGCAAGAAGGGTCGAAAACACCGAACTGTCAGATCTCCCATCCTCGACTCCGGTTCCGAGTGGCGCTTGGAGAAGGTTGCTCGGACAGCTGAGCCTTCGATATACTGTTTGCAGTCTGGGTTTGTGGAAACACTCGGTGCAAGCAAACATGACCTGCATGACTTTGTGTGGTACATGTGTGTATATTACCATATGTGTGTTTGTCTGGAAGGTGTCTGTAGGTCTATGATTCTACGGTAGCACATGCATAGCATTGTGGGGTGAAAAGGCATCCAAAATGAGCCAAATCTCCTAAACATCACTCATCTGCGCAAATCAACCCCCCAGAAACCTCTCGTGCAGCTCTCCTTCAGCAGCCGGTCGACGGCATCCAAGGCCAAATCCTCCAGGTTTTTGCTCAGAAGCCTCGATGAAGCGCTGGACCACATGCGACGGCTGTTGGAGTATAGGGGAAGAAGCCATTATTACATAAACCAGCCCAAAGGCAGTAAATATGTACATACCTGGGTCTTCCCAAACCTGCAAAATTTATGCTCTTTGAGAAAAGATTGCTTTTTTAGGGAAGTGACGATAATTATTGCTTGTGAGCGTTTCTTCACTTTGTAACTGTTGGGCAATGATGGTGAATGTTGGAAGCTGTTGCCAATCCAAGGCTGGCTCTAATCAAAAGCTTGTTTAATCTAAACTGAGGTATCAACCCCTACAAATCCCTGGACATCCCTTAACCATGTCTCATTCCCTCCAGCCCACCAATTCTGATGCTCTCTCAACTTTTTCATTTGTGCTCGCTGGGATGGTCGCCAGCGGAGAAGATGGGTGCCTGGCGAGGAGGTGCCCCTGGCGTGTTTGGCATTGAGTGCAACCCGGTTGAGACTTGAACCTTTGTTGGGATGTGGGCACTCACAGTTGGAGAGTGGCAGCCATTGTTTTTCTCAAGTCAAGTGATACTGAAATAGGTGAACCTCTTGGTCTTTGGCGAATGGCGGGTGAGAATGCCACTCCCCTCACACTTGCGGAAAGATGGGAGAATGATGCAGCAATTCGAGCTGCCTCCCGTCAAGATGCCGCGTTGACCACTTGGCCTACTCCTGAAACCATAGGTCATGCGTCCCAAAAGGCGCTGGTCCTGAACATCCGAGTTGTGGAACATGCAGCAAGATGGTGGGTCGCTCAGCGCAACCTCGCACAAACCATCCCAATCAACGACTTGAGGGACCAGGTTGGGGAAGGAGAAAACATGTTTCCAAATTTGGCAACAGCATGAATACTACTGTAGATTAGTTTGGGGTGCTAGATTCTACGATTCTGCCCCTGTGCAGGTTGTAGGGTGGAGGAAAATGTCAAACCTTCCTGAGAATGCTGGATCAGTTGCTTGTGACAGTTGGGGCATCAAAAGGCTCTTCAGCTATGCGGTCCGGAGGTGGCTGTCTGGTGCGGCTGCGCCAAGAGCCTTTCGGCCATATTCAGCAAACAAGAAAAGTCCCACCCCAACACTGAAGTGGTTGTTATTTGCTTATGTTTTTTTTTTCAGGGTTGCTCCCCCACAACTGCGGCTTCCCAGGCGCCTGCTTTGCTGGACTTGTGGGCAATCTTCGATGGGTCCTGGGGAGGTCCAGCGGCACCACCAGCCCCTGCCCCTGCTCCTGCTCCACCAGTTCCACCCGGAATGGAGGATGATGAAGGGGGTGCCACTGACAGTGATGTGATTGAAAGTGATGATGATGGAGAACATGAGCCTATGGAGGCACCTGCTCCTGAGGCTGCGGGTTTGCCCGATGCGCTTCACTCAGGACCTATGCCCGTTGAAGACGTTGAAGATTCTCAAGTGGTGGACTTCTTTGGGGGATCTCAAGTGGAGGTTGTAGAGGATTCCCAAGTGATGCAAGTTGAGGAGGATTCCCAAATGGTGGAGATGCTGGTGGATCCCCCTACAGAGCCTCCTACATCGGATGTGGTGGTTCCCCAGGAGCCTGCCCCAAGTGAGCCTATGCCAAATGATTTTGAAGACAAGAAGCGTGAGCTGGAACAAGTACGGGCCAGGGCCAACATGGTCAGGCGGGGTCTTCTTGAAATTGGTCTGACATAATCTTCATCTGTTCTTTTTTGATTCTTGTGGTGTCCAAACTGTTTAAAAGAGGTCGCTACCATAAAGTAGCGCTTTCAAGCCCAAGCCTGGCAATTTTCATCTTGGGCACAAGACATGCTGGCCCCAAATCTGTGTTCATTTGGTGGGGCCATGATGCAAGAAATGTGGGGGGAGCATTTCTTGCATCGTTCCCAGCTCTCCACTTCGATTGGTTTTTGAAATTTGGCTATGTGTTTGCATCTTAAACTTTGAAGGTGCTTGATGGACCAGCGTCGGGCGGGCAGAGAGGACAAGACCTTTAAGGAGACCCCTGTTGTGGCTGGCGCTTGCCATGACAACGTGGACACCTTGCCCATGGATGCTGCGTCCGTGGATTTTTCGCTCATGCGACATGCTTCCTGCCAAGACCTGGTTGTGCTCAGCGATGATGAGAAGCCCCCCCAAGTATCTTGTATGGCATTCGGCATTGTGCTAGTTTTTTATTCAAGAGTCAATCCTTGGAAAGTGTTGGTAGCTACTGTAAAAAAACTCCAAATTTTTGAAGCACCTAAGAAGCGTCAATTAAAGTCTTGAAAGTACTCTTGGCACTCCTGGGCTAGAGTTCTATCATAGTTCCAGGACATCCGTGAGACTCCAGTTGACCCTGTTGACGGCAAGGAGATGCCACCCTTGAAGCAGCGAGAGATTGCAGGCAGCACTATGGCCACCAGCGCACGGGCTTCGGAGCCTGGAGAGAAGCCTGGCGAGAAGTGTGATGCTGACCAGGCGGAGGCTACAGGGGGCAAGGTCCCTGCTGCTCCAGTGGGGCCACCCAAGGTGGGTGAAGAGGCACAAGGTGCTCAGACTTCCCGACCTTCTGATGCGGATGCCTTGATGCTCATGAATGAGCCAGTGAAAGTGATTCAGCGCAAGGAGCAGCTGACGGCAGAATTCCGGACTGGTGAGGGAGAGGGTGAGTCGGAAAATGATGGTGAAGCCGCGGCCAAGAAAAAACCTAAAGGCCGAGGCCGAGGCCAGGCGAAGGCAAAAGCAAAGGCCAAAGCTAAGGCTCGAGCTAAGGCTCGTGCCAAGGCCAAGGCTAAGGCTCGAGCCAAGGCAAAGGCTAAGACTCAACCCAAGGCAAAGGCCAAGGGTCGAGCGAAGGCAAAGGCGCAGAAGGCTGAAAGCCCAGCCAAGGCTTCTTCGCCGAATGATGAACCCTCAAGGAAGCGCAAAGGTGAAGCTCAAACCTTTGCCAGGCGCTATCCTCCCCACCATGACCCCAAAGCCCAAGCCCAGTTTCAGGCTTTGAAGGATGCATGGGAAGCCTCAATTGCTGCACGTTTGGAACGGCAAAGCTCTTTCCAGGACCTGTGTTCCTCAACATGTTTAAAGGCCTGGTACTCTGCACTGGTTCAAAACCTTTGTTCAAATGACCCTAGGATGAGTGGTGGAAGCTTGTGATGCCTGCCATGCGCTCCTCGGATGCGGATACCTATGCTGGCTACTACAAAATCGCACAAGGGTATGTTGACCAGTTTCTGAAGGGAGAGTGTGTGAGTGGCCAGCCTGTATTTGACTTACATCTTTTGAAGTTTTTACTTTTGTTTGTTTGGTGGATTCGGACTGGGTGTTTAAAACCTTTGAAAACTGGTCAGAGTGTGTGTGTGTGTGTGTGTGTGTGTCTGCAACGGCCCTGGAATGTTGAGGCAAGAGCTTGAAGGCACTTGACTGTTGACCATTGAAGCAGCTGATGGGGGTCTTGGCGCCAAGCGGGAAGGATCTTTCACACTGAACATGCTTAGTTAGCGTGCGGGGGAGTGTGTATGATGCAACCCTGCTTGGGTAGCTGTTCAAGCATCTAGCCTGCTAATTTTGGATTTTGAGTAGGCTGAAATGGCCTTCA